TAAAATTTATTCCATAATGTCCATGGCCTCCATGTCACCGGCTTTACTTATTTTCTTCTTTGACCTTTTGCTTTACATCAGCTTCCTATTGGCACAAACTGAATCCAATTAAGGTAGCTACTGTTTCATTTAATATTCTCTCTTTTGCTGTCTTTCTTTTCAAATTTAAATTGTTACGTATTTTTCATGTAAAAGTCTTCATGTAAGTTCTTTTAGTTAATAAAATGAAACCACTCTTGTTATTGTAATTGTCTTGTACCTGTCTGTTAAGAAGAATGTGTATAATGGGATATGTCTGTAATCTGTACAAGTTTGCAATTAGGTTAAAGGAACATCTAATACAATGCGTTTTGTAATAAGGGCAATATAAATTAGCCCACCGTGTTTCGTGTTTCTGTTTTGTCAGTTAGCAAAAATCAAGTTTTCAGAAACATATTCACTTTACTCTTTAGCTCGTTCTTGCTTTTGTTTTCTTGTTCTTCTTTTCTTCGGTGATTCTAAAATTCTTCGCTGTCTAATAAGATGGTGTAATATTTCCCCTATATTTGTATTTGCAATAAGATGAAGTAATATTTCCTTTACTTGTTGCTTAAATTATGTCAAACGTTCACGTTTCTGTTTGTTCCTACTCGTTAATAAAAATTAAACCGGCTTCTTCTTGTTCTAATGGTCCTGTAACTGTCTACGAAGATATGCAATATTTCCTCTATTTTTGTATTTGTAATCGGATGAAGTAATATTTCCTCTATTTTTGTTTTTGTATTTGTAGTAAAATCATTTTTCTCTTCAATTGTCAGCTTCATCATCTACCAAATGTCCCAAATCCATCAGAGAATGCTCCCACTACAGCAACCATCTTCCTCGTCTATTGACTCAAAGATACAAACAGTTGTTATTGCCGATCAGAATTGCAACTAGTTTCTCCCCCAATGGAAAAATATCATCACGGCATTTTGCTTTACATCAGCACGTGAAATAGCTCTCTGTTTGCACAAATCCAATCTCAGCTCACTGTTTCATTTCATATTCTCTCTTTTGCTATCTTCCTTATCTTTCTTTTTCTTCATCTATATATATATATATATATATATATTGTCTCCTTATGATCCTATTTTTGAATCTTGCACTATTTTTGATCTTCTGCCATTATGCGCACACTTACTAAAGGTAAACACCTTCACAAGTGTGAGCACTTTAGCATGTGTGTTCACAATACATCTGACAGATATTTTTCCTCAAATCACACTTCATGCACTTTTTTTCCTTTTGGACAATATTATTCCTTATTGATGTTGTGTTTTATTCTTTTACACTTATCCACTATTTATTCTCTGTGTAAGAAAAGGAATATTACTTTTGTTTGTGGTCCCAAATTGTCTTATGCAAAAAGAAAAACACAAAAGTTAATATTTAACTCTTTTGTCCCCAACCCTTGACTATTTATGAAACGATGGGAGAAGAAACTGGAAAAAAGTCTTGCTCTAAAGCATGAGGTAATATCTGAACCTACTGTTTATGTTGTTTCTAGTGATGGTGAGAAAGATGTGTACACTTTGCTCACAACAATTTTTTCTAAATTTTTGAACAAGAATATGAGAAAGCCTAAATTGAGCAAAAAGGGTAAATAAATCTTTTGTGAAGAAATCCATTGACCAAGTTAGTCAAGGTGCCTTCTCAGAACGATTTCGAGAGATAATGACAAGAAAAATAAAGGTGTTATGAATGTGAAGATATGGACACATTCAGTCAAAGNGCGCACACTTACTAAAGGTGAACACCTTCATAAGTGTGAGCACTTTAGCATGTGTGTGTTCACAATACGTCTGGCAGATATTTTTCCTCAAATCATACTTCATGCACTTTTTTTCCCTTTTGGACAATATTATTTCTTGTTGATGTTCTGTTTTATTCTTTTACACTTATCCACTATTTATTCTCTGTGTCAGAAAATGAATATTACTTTTGTTTGTGGTCCCAAATTTTCTTGTACAAAAAGAAAAACACAAAAGTTAATATTTAACTCTTTTGTCCCCAACCCTTGACGCATTGATCTCTTTATATTCACTCAGTTCTAGTTTTTCTCTTCAAGGAACCTGATTACAGTTGTTTCCCTCTCTAAATATTCTCTGAGGTTCTTATTTTGTTAAGGTTTCTAACTATGCTTTGGTAGGCTTAGAATTACCCTCTTCACTTATCCTTGTGTGAGATCTTTGGATACTATTTCCATTGTGATGAGAGCTTGTGTGTAAGCTGCTGTCTAGTCTTCGTTGTTGAATCTTGAGAGGAGCTCTTCTTTAACATGATATTGTTGTGTTTTATGAAGCTTGCTATGATGACTTGAAGTTCAACCAAAGAAGATAGAGTTGCTATGTAGAAAATAGGGAGTGTTTTACAACTTTGTTTATCTTGCTTTGTATTTGAACTCGTAAGTATTTCATAGTGAATTTGCTTCCTCTGGACGTGGTCCCATGGATGTAGGCTTGATGCCGAACCATGAAAAAATGAGCATACTCTTTACTTGATTTGATATATGTTTTAATTAAGTTTTTCACAACTCATTTGTGTAAATTGAACAAGAAACCCATTTTTCATAAGTTTTAAACACTTGGTAACCCTTTAAAACTTTCATTTGATATCAGAGCATGTTCTAAAGAGTTATTTTAGTTGATCCTTGCCTATTTGTCAGATCTTTAATTTGAGTTTGTGCTTGTCCTTGCTGTTTTTTGTTTCGTGTCTGGTTGAGCAGATCTGCTCATCCTGATTTGTGTGATCACCATGTTTTGTGTGACCACATTTGTTCTCTTGTCACCATGAGTTTCTTTGGTGAAGGTGAATTTACTCATAGACCACCATTGTTGGAGGGAACTAGCTTTTCCTTCTAGAGACCTAGGATGAAAGCCTTTTTAAAATCTATTAATGAAAGAGCTTAGAATGCTTGTGTCGTTGGTTGGAAAGAACCACAAGTTTTGACTAAAGAAGGTGGTGGCAAGGGAAAACCCCTTGATTAATGGATCAAAGCTAAGTTGGAAGAGTCTAATTTCAACTCTAAATCTCTCCATGCACTCTTTAATGCTGTCAGTATTGGCCAAATAAAAAACATAGCCAACTGTGAAATGGCTAAAGATGCATGGGACAGACTCCAAGTTAAGAATGAAGGAACTGACACGGTTAAAAAGACCAGATATAGGAGATTGATTACTAATTATGAAAACCTTTTTATGCATGATGATGAGTCTATCACTGATTTTCATGGTTGGTTGTGTGATATCATGAATGAATGCTTTGCTTTAGGTAAGATCTATACTGATGCTGAACTTTCAGGGAAGTTTTTTGTTCTCTGCCTATGAAGTTCATGTCCAAAGCAACCTCTATCGAAGAATGCCGAAATCTGGATGAGATGCAGCTAGATGAACTCATTGGGTCACTTCAGAATTTCAAACTTAATATGAAACGATGGGAGAAGAAACTGGAAAAAGTTCTTGCTCTAAAGCATGAGGTAACATCTGAACCTACTGTTTATGTTGTTTCTAGTGATGGTGAGAAAGATGTGTACACTTTACTCACAACATTTTTTGCTAAATTTTTGAACAAGAATATGAGAAAGCCTAAGTTGAGCAAAAAAGGTAAATAAATCTTTTGTGAAGAAGTCCACTGACCAAGTTAGTCAAGGTGCCTTCTCAAAACGATTTCGAGAGATAATGACAAGAAAAATAAAGGTGTTATGAATGTGAAGGTATGGACACATTCAGTCAAAGTGTGCATAATTTTTTTTTTTTTTATTTTTTTACAAAATGATGCGGGAGAAAATAAACGAAAAAGTAAATATTTTTTTAACGACTAATGTGTCTTAAACCTTAAGTATAATATTTTATATATTTTTAAAATATTATTTTGGTTTAATAGTTATTTAACCGTTAAAAGTCTATTGGTCAATAGAGGGTATGTCTTAATGACTGCACACTTTGATGGAACATGTGATTATGTATATATAATAATTGGAAAAGAACCGGTCCTCTCTCCGCCCAGAAACCGAAGGTTTTATTTTTCTCTCCATCAGGAACAGACTGTCAAACCAAAAAAGGCCAAGAAGGAGAAACCTAGGTTCTTGAAGATGCCTCATTTACATTCAATTTCTCAAGCAAATTGTCATGGATCAAGGTATGTCATCCCCTACATTATGAATTGTGAGAATCATCCTGTTCAAAAATCTTAAGCACAAGGTTTATGCAAAATTAGGGTTTGAATTTGCATAATTAAGAACTTCTTACAGAGTTTTCACCTGCTACTTTAACCTTTTATGTGGGATGGTAGAAAAGAAACGAACAAGTGCTTAAGATTGTAATTGACTGCAGATAATAATTTAAGGTATTGACCGGGTAGATGGAATGAGAGCAAGCGAAAGGTTTGTTAATTAAAACAATAAAAAAGTTTGTTCTAGTTGAAATATATGCAAGATTCATTATAAGACTTTTGTCTAATTGTGCACGCATTTCTTCGAGTGACTATAATATTGCACTTATAGTTCTCTAAATCAATTATAAAAGTTTGCTAGTTTGACTAATTTTCTCGTTCTACCAAGTTAAAGTCGTTCAATTTCTATTTTAATTATTACAAGTATTATTTAGGACGTCTTTTTTTTTTTTTTTTTTTAGTCAAGTTAGTTATTGTTTTTTGTGAATTTGATAATTTTCTTGAAATTTGAGAAACCTCTCATGAATTTGAGAGCTTCTTCTCGTCAATTCAAACCATATTAGACTTGAAAATATTCAGTGCCAATCTATTCAGTTTTGTTGTTATATTTTTCTGGTTATTTATTATTTAATTCTTAGTATATCAGTGGTTATTTTACTGAAGTAATTGAATCCTTCTCAATTGTTAAAAAAATTCGGTGTTTGGCGGTGAGAATGTAAAAGTAGAGAATACAAGAACATTGCTGGATAGAGAGAGAAATTAGCCAGATTAATTTACTGATAAATCTGGAATCACTTGTTAAGAGAAATTCAGAGAGTTCTGAATAAACTATATACACGAATTGGGTAAAAAATCCCACCTACGGACCCAATAATAAATCCGAAAACAACTCCAGCAGTGAGTCCATAAACAAGCTCCTTTTTTGAAGATTCACTTGGAGAAGGAACAGGATTATGACTCGTTCTTGTTTGAATAGAACATGAGATTTCTATAATATCACCGCACAGACCTGGATTTCCTTCAAAGTTGGAGATGGAAAAAGTATGAAACTGACCTCCTGAAGGTATCAGACCATGAAGATTATTATTCGCGACGCTGAACTCCGACAAGAAGTAGAGACCACTGAACGAGGCAGGGATTTCACCAGATAAATTGTTTCCGGATAGATCCAATCTCTCCAAGTTAGTGAGTTTCGATATTTGATTCGGAATGTTTCCAGAGAATTTGTTATAGCTGAGATTAAGCAATTGAAGAAAATGTAATTGGCCAATCTCAATGGGGATGCTGCCACTGAGACTATTGTTTTGGAGGAATATCGACGGTGGTAACCTGAGGAGACTATAGTATTCTTCATTAGAAGCATTGATATTGGGAGGAATAAAGAGAGGTAACTCTAAGCGGCTCGCACCAATTTTTTTCGCAGCCTGTAATTCTGATACCAACATTGGCAATCCGCCGAGTTCCTTCGGAAACTCTCCGGAAAGAAGGTTATAAGACAAGTCGATGTAGAATAGACTTGTCATAGTCCCTAACCACCCTGGAATTGAACCAGTGATTTGATTCAAACTTAAGTCCAAGAACTGTAATTTCCTGAGATTACTTATCCAGGAAGGAACTTGACCCTGGAATTGTGATTTACTCAAAGCCAAAACCTGGAGATTTGGAAATGCATATGAGAAGGTAATATCATCAGGAATCATTTCACCCTTGAAGTTTTTACAAAGGAATAGAACACTGAGGTTCTTGCAACCTGTCAAAATCTTGATTGATGCAGTGGCATTCGTTAATCGGTTTTGGGCAAGCGAGAGGTATGACAATGATTCCAATGCAACTATTTCAGGTGAAATTTCTCCCTCTATATTGTTACGGGAAAGCCTTACTGCAGTTAGTGACTTGCATGAATAAAGAGTCGATGGGAAGCTACCTGTGAAGTTATTGCTTCCAAGGTCGATTGTACGAAGATGGCGAAACATTGAGAAATTAAATGCCGAAAGATTTCCTTCAAGTTTGTTATTCCGCAAATTCAGTTTTATGAGATTGATGCAATTCTTCATGGATGGAGGAAGAGAGCCAGATAGGTTGTTCACATGAAGGTACAAATGTGTCAAGTTGGTGAGCTTGCCAATACCCTGAGGGATGAAGCCAGTCAAATTGTTAGAATAAAGCTGAAGAATGATAAGGCTTGTGAGGTTGACAATGGTGTTGCTAATGGGTCCAGATAGGGAGTTAACATGTAAGGAGAGCTCTTCAAGCGATATGGCAGCATAAATGTCATCAGGTAGTGAACCTGAGATAAAATTACAGGCTGCCCGGAAAACCTGAAGTCTTGAGCAATTTCCAAGTCCTGGAGGAATTGGACCTGTAAAATCATTGTTTGAGAAATCCAGAATCCTGAGAATGCAGGAAGTTTCAGTCCGGCTAAAGGAAGGGATAAGACCTGTGAAACTATTTTTGCTGACATTAAAACTCTCCAAATTTCCTGCTGATAGCTGGAAGAACGATGATGGAATCGTTCCTTGTAAATTATTGCCGGATAAATCAAACAATCTAATGACTTTAGATGACAAAGATGATGGAAATTCACCTGTAAGAGAATTATTACTCAAATCCAGAACTTCAACAAGAACTAAAGACAAAAACGAATGATGGGGGACAGGACCGGAAAGGTGATTGTGTGAAAGATTGAGGTGAGAAAGATGTGTCAAGTTCCCAATTGATGGGGAGATGGAGCCGCTAAGGTCTCTCCCGGGCAGCTGTAAATGAGTGACACGACCGTTCGCATCACACTCGATCCCTTCCCATAGGCAGCAGTCGACCGAAGAGGTCCAATTTATTGTAGGAGAATATATGTTGAGTTTTATAGACAAGAGTGATTCCTTATCTATTTGGTTGCAGGTTTTGCAAAGAGTGGCAAAACATGAGAGGAATAGTAAAACAAGCTTCAAGAACAAGCTAAGCATGGTTCGTATTTGATTTCTCTAGGCTGAAAAGATGAAGAAGTAAAGATTTTAAAGTATAGGCAGCCAAGTTTAATATTTCAGCTACGTTGAAATTTGTGATAACAGATTATACTGCAAGTTATTGACCAGGCAGGGAGGGTGTGAGAAAGCGACGTGAGGTTAACATAATTAAAAAAAAAAAAAATTGTATGTTTTCATCAAGGAAGATTTTCATTATATGGTAGAAATCTTCAGAAAATTAATCATAAAAAAACATTAGTGGGAAATTTTGTCAATTTTCAGAGTTGTTTTAAGAAGTTTTCCAAGGGACATCTTTGACTTAATGCATTCAAGTCCTAAGTCCTAACGTCAAAATCACTCTATTAAACTATTAAAAACGTCATTCATTACGAGTCAAGAAACTAAATTATATATTTATTGTAACAATATTTCCGCGCCCCTTCGTCATGGAAGCTGAAATTAAAGAAATTGTCAATTTAATAATAATTATAAAAGTATATTAATATGTTTTCATAGAGATATTGCACAATTTTATTTGACCCACATAGTAACGTATATTGACTGTAGCTATAATTCAAAGTCTTGGAACTTTGATCAGCTTGAGTGCTTGACTTGTTATGTAGAAACTTTTTTTGATTTGACATCTTGTAGTTTTCTCCTTTTATCCACATTTACCCTTTAATTCCAATTATGGTAGATCCAGTCGGAAATGATCTGACTAGATTTAGGTTTGATCTAATCATTAACGGTCAGATCTATGGGTGTGGATGTCAAAATAAATATGGTCGTTAACAGCCAAATGTATGGAGCATAACGACCACACATCTGACTATTAACCACCATTGATCTGATTAGAAGTGGCCAAAATAGATCTGGTTATTTTCGGTCAGATTCACAGGCATATAGTTATTTCTAATTATATCAATAACTGAAAACATTCATATCGGTGCACAGTTGGCGGATCTGGCCGTGCACCATTTCATCGATTGCCGACGTAATACATTATTCCTTCAACGAGACACACATTAAGGACACAAAAAAAAATTGTTCTTGGGTCTTGGCTCATGATAATTGTAAGAATATTAAATATATAAAATAGTATAATTTTAAAGAAACTTTTAAAAAAAGAAAAAAGAAAATTAAGAGTTAATATTACATGAGGGAACATTATCGTTGCGAAGGTTTTATACGAAGGAGAAACATCGTTGCATTGATGTAAGGATAGTCGCCCGTTTTTCTAAGAGGTCATCTCTAATGGGGTAATAGCCATCACCCAAGGGATCCACCAAGAGGGTCATTACCATCACCCACAGGTGAAGAAGTGTTCACCCAATTGGCTTCCAAGCAAAGTGGCTCATTCTCATTTGTTGGCCACTCAAAACCGCCTAGGACACGCATCAATTACTAAGTAGTTTTTCTGTGAAAGATTGCCCAAAAGGGGTCACCAAATTAGAAGAATTAAGGAGCATAACAAAAGCCAAAAACGAAGAGCACCATCAGACTTAACTTATTGAGTTTCACTTGTTAACCCTTTAGAACCATTTCTTGGCATTAACAATCACCAAACCCGATTTGTGAGTTCTATCATAGCTTTTTAATTAATATTTAAACATGAAATTGAATATATTTAAATATACATATAACATATTTAAAAACAATTTTTTTTTTTTTTTAACTATTTCAGTGGTGCTTGACAATTGTTGGAGTCCTACAACTACTAGGCACGCTCAAGCCTATTAGATTATAAGAGGGAGTAATCATCCCATTCAACAAGGTCTTATTGGGTGAGGAGTCAGGCTCACCTTAATTTCTAACATGGTATCAGAGCTCAGGTTCAGTTGAGCTAAGCGCTTGACCAGCGGGTGAGGAGTTAGAGACAGCAACTACTTCCAATAACAGGCATTCCCAACATATGGGCTTGACCGTGAGGGGGATTGTTGGAGTCCCACATCGATTAGGCACGCTCAAGCCTATTGGGTTATAAGAGGGGGTAATCCTCCCATTCAACAAGGTCTTATTGGGTGAGGAGTCAGACTCACCTCAGTTTCTAACATTGATATCCGAAAATATCCTATTTGAAATCCTCATACAGATTTGCAACAACCACAGGTAGAGGTGTCAATTTAGTCAAGTCCACATGACATAAATATAATAATATTCCCCTAAAAAAAAAAGGAAAAAAGATAGATAGAAAAAATAAAGGGCTTATTACGACAGGAAAGTCATCATAAGCTGGGCCACCGGGCAACCGCTTAGATTTTTAACATAAAGCTTGCTTAATATGTTCTCGTAGTGGTATTTAGTTGAAGAATTTACACTAACTCGGTTCACTAAGTATTTAATTAGAGAATTGAAGTATTTTTCCCTCTTCCCGGTTCCAACTTCCAAGCAATGTTCAAACTGTGACACAGTCTTCAAATAATGTTAGTCTTATGATTATTTTCATTGTTGCGGGAGTTGAAACTCATCTCCTCTAAAACTGTACTTATTTTTGCTCTCTCCATCAAAATTTCCAACAATATATATATTCAGCTCCTGAATGCTGCAAAAAAGACGGGGATGCAAAGGATGAAAACAGCCGAAGTGATCCAAATTTGCCACGCATGCTTGCCAAGCAATTGCAGGCACATTACCGCCAAGAGGCCGTAAGTTTTGGTGGGGGCATACCAAAATAGAATATATGAAACAGATGAACCCGATAAGATTGCAAATCTTTGCAAATTCCAGGAGGGATTCAGAAAAAGGAGTTAAAGAAATTTTGTTGGTGCTATTATTCATGGACCCACAATTGCTCAAAGTTGGTGCAATTTGAGCAACAATCATGATGAATACCTTGGTTTTCGTTCGTCCGTGGAACTCGCCATCTTGAATTGGAACACAAAGCTGCTGAATCCGGATAGAAATCATCCCAGGAATTGTGTTGGTGTTAGTTAAGGATGGAGTCGGGAAAGGGTGAATTTTGAAAGAATCATCAACGGTTGTGCGAGAGCTCCAGCCTGGAGGAGAAACGGGAAAGTGGGAGATAGTCGGAGGGAATTCCTCAACTGAAGTTGAAGCCGCGGATGGAGTTGATGAGGAAGACACGTTGAAAGAGAGAAATTGCCTTTAGAAATCAGAGATTGAAGGAATTTGGAGACGTCTGGGATTTTCTTATCTGGCGGTTTTGAGTACAATTTCTATGCAATTGCATGAACTACAAATCTGAGTAAAAAACTTGGAAACGAAGGAGAGAAGGCGCCGCAGGCCACACTCCACAGCCGTTCATGTGTAGAATTAGGATCGGCCCGGCCCAACCAAAGTTTGTGGAAAAACAAAATTACTTGCTGCATTTGGTTAGCTTTTCGGAGTAACATTCTATTTCGAATAGCATTTTTGAAAAATATAATAGGATTCTGAAAATGTTTTTGGTACATTTTTAGAAAATATTTTCTGAAAATATTTAGATTATTTTAACCCTCTATGTTTGTTTGTTTAAATAAACATCCCCCACAATAAAAGTTTATAAATTGATAAAAACACTTCAACCCATCCAACTATTACTGGCAGCTGGTCACCATCGTCAGACTATAGCTAAAAGCCATCTGGATGGCACACGACCAATTGCATCTGGCCGATCGTGCGTCAATCTAGCCTTTTTTTGCTTGATCCATCGTGAATCTGGCTAGATCTGATTGTCGTTGACAGCCAAACGACGACCAAGATATCTAGCCGTCAACAACCATGATATGACTATCGTTAACGACTAGATCTTTGGCCATAGATTTGGCTATTTCGACCATCAACGGCCAGATCTTTGGTAGTAGATCTAGCCAAAAACGGACAAATTGACACACGACCGGCCAGATCCAGCTGGTCATACATTGTTATGGTGCCGACGGCTAGCGGTGGTTGGCGGCGGCGGCGACTGCCAGCGAGTGATAGTGGCTTGGGTGGGTGAGGGGTGTTTTTGTTAATTTTAAAACTTTTATTGAGAAAGGTAATTGTTATTGTTTTGAGATGAATAGAATATGATTGGATTTTGAAGAATATTAAACCAAATGCATTTTTGATTTGTAAAGATAGGATAGTGGGAAAAAAGTGTGCCAAATGCAGGGATTATTATTATACAAGACCGTAAATATGTCAAATTGTAGTCCACAGAGACGCGAAATATATACCCAAATTATTAAGTATTTAATTAATTGGCTTTTTATATGTATTCATCCATTCACTTCATAATACATCAATTTGCATGGAAGATTTTGAACATTCAGTATTATTCAATTATGAAAAGACAAAATAAAATTGGAGCCTTTATTTATAGTTATTAGCCATTTTTTTATATTTATTTGTATCCATAATTTATATATTTAATGTTATTCAATAAAATAGATGTATTGCTATATACATCTAATTTATAGGATGTACAAGTGCAATAATGTTAATGGTTAAAAATATAGCTAAAAAAATTGACGTGTTGGGTTATAAGTGAGAATAATTACCATTATTCAATTTAAAAATAAATAATATAATATATAATTGCATATAATATGATAATAATTTGGAGGTGACAATTTAAATCTTGTTTATATTATATTTTAGGGGTGACAATTTTTTGAAACAATTAACCCAATTTGAAATTTCTTGTTTATAATCAAAAGCACAAAGTAATTTGATTGTATTGTGTGGATTCTCATTTTCTAGTGTAGCTCACGCGGCAAGAGAAATTCTCTTAAAATCTCCTAGTTGAATAGGAGTTATTTATAGTCAATATTGCAAATTAAGTGCCTTGTTAAAGTCATATCTTGGCTTTAAATACCACATTTATATGTCAGAAATTATACTAAATATGTTTACTTTTGTTAAAGTATTATATTGTTATCTCAATCTCGCAAATATACATGTTCCTATACATTATATTAAAAACAAAAACTCAAATCAACTTAATTGTAATGAATATATTTTAAAAACTCAAATCAGTTTATGAAAATTCATCAACATAGGTCATGCATAAGTATGGCCATACGCT